CAGCGCGCGCGCAGCCGGGCTCCTGACGTGGCACTCACAGTCCAGAGCGACTCGGTGGCGGCGGCGCGGGGCGCGGAGCGTGCAGAGCAGGTACCGGGGATGCGGGGCACAGGACGCGGGGAGGAGGATGGGGAGGTTAGGGAGTCGCAGGTTTGGCGGGCTCGGGGTGCAGCTGGGGTGCGGAGCGGCCACACGCCACTGCATCGCGACTCCCCATCAACTTGGCTCCCCGGTTCCCCCAGGAAATATTCCGAGGGAAAATGGCAACTCCAGCGTTCGGCTTCGGGACATCATTAGAGCGGAACGCGAACTTGTCCCGGGTGACAGTGGACAGGGAAGGGTGTGTTTGTGGAATCCGAGCACTCTACGTTTGGATCCGAGGCCGGTCGGTGCCAAGTGGCTTTCTGCCATGTCGCCCGCTTGCAGCTGAGTCAGGTTTCAGCAACTTGGTGATCTGGGTGAGGAAGTTTGACGTGGCACAGCAGGGTGAGGAAGCGAATTCCTCCCAGGACCAGGGAAGAGGGATGGGCAGCTTCTCGTTCTTTGCTTGAGCATCGCTGCCCCGCTTCCCTCCCGCAGCTGTTGCGTGGGTGTGCCGGTGCGGTCTTCGGAAGGGGCTGGGCTGGATGGGGCCAAGCAGGCTGCCACGTCTCTCTAGGCGCAGTGGGAGGAGGGAAAGTGTTGTCAGGAACACAGTGGACTGGAGACCTTTGTCTGCCTTTCTGTCCTCCGTTAAGAAGACAGTGACCTCATGATACTTTTTCTTGGTGGCCACTCAGAAGCTTAAGTTTTAATGTGAAAGCAAAGCTGAAGCGTGAATTCTGGCCTTCACGTTTTAGCTTGGCAAGGCATTTCCAGAATAAAGACAGAACCCATGTCTTAGAAGGCGTTGCTAATCTTTACCTCAAAAAGAAGCAATAAGAAATGACAGGAGACACACGCAAATGCCTGGTGGAGAAACTGGAAAGAAACTAGAGAACCAATGCTTCACAAGTAATATGGCTTTTGGACACTTCACTTTCTAAAACAGAAACTGGGGCCCAGAGAGCCTCTTCAGTTTGCCCTGGGTCACAAAGCTATACATTGCCAGATAGGAGATGAAAACCCATCCCTCCCCCCAGAATTTTGAGCACCCCATGTCTTGTTGCAAATGTTTTTTGAAAGCCAGGAGGTGGTGGCACATACCTTTAATCCCAGCACTAGGGAGGCAGAGGCAGGTGGCGCTCCATAAGTTTGAGGTCAGCCTGGTCTACAGAGCTAGTTCCAAGACAGCCAGGGCTACACAGAGAAACGCTGTCTGGAGGGGAAAAAAGTTAAACAAACAAACAAACAAGCAAACAAATGTCTTTTGAAAGCCTCCCTAGGAGGTATGTTTTCTTAAAACCTGGAAACATAAATGTGTACCACTACTTGGTATTTGGGTTCTGAATAGACTCAATGGGACTGTTACATTTGTTGATTGAATATAGGTGCTTGAATCTGAGGTGTGACATCATGTAAGTCAGAATCCTACCTAGCATCTTTGGTCACGATGGTTGGAGCTGCCACTGGCTTGTCAAATTATGAGTCACAGAGGCGGGTATCACTTCTATCTCAGCTTATAGTCGATGGACTCTGCCTTTTCCTTAACTGCAGATTAAGCTGGCTAATTAGACGGGCACCAGAAAGATCCAAGTCATGAAACATCTGGCTGCAGACGGCTTGTAGTCATTCTGGCCAGTCACTTGAACGGCATGGCGTCGTCTCAAGATGTGACCATGGAAACCAAGACACAGAATTGTAGGAATACTAATGAGAGACTGTAGGAAGCAATTCAGGCTTCCCAGGGAAAGAATGGTTTGCAATTACTCTTCGGATCTGTGCCTGAGAATTTTCCTGGGACCGCTGAAATGATGCTACTGAATTCCAAAGAGATGTCATAAGCTGTGTCCTGAGGATAATAACATGATATGTAATGCTGTATACAATGAAGATATTTCCCGGATGGACACTTTTACTGTTTTCAGGCCATCCTGAATGTTTCTTGATAGTGTTTATATTTTTAATAGCATTAAGTATCTAAAATTCTCTTGTCAACTTCTTGTTTTTACCCTTGCAGGGTTCTTCTGCGGTAGCTCTCCTTTGGAATGATATTTTCATAATGAGCCGACAAGGTTATGTGGCGACACCCCCGTATTCTCAGTCCCAGCCTGGAATGGGCCTTTCTCCCCCTCATTATGGACACTATGGGGATCCGTCCCATGTAACTTCTCCACCAGGTAAATTGTTCTTTCCACTTGTATGTGATTACTCATTCCCTGGACTCGGAGGCATGAGATATTCCTAGTTGGTAGTCATTAACGAGATGGGACCAAGCAGGCTGCAGTCATTGACTAAAGCTGTGGTTTGACATGACAGCATCGTTTCAAGAGGCTCTTACAGCAAGATACACGAAGTTCACGCTTATCTCTTAGATCTACTCCTTCAGCCTTGAAGTCTTTCCATGCCTAACCAGTGTTTGCCACCCTTCTGTTTACTTAGGCATGGCATACTCACATTCACAGCAATTGGGTCTCTTTCCTTGAAGCCTGCCTTTTGCTGGTATTCCACATCACATCCGAGCATCACTCGGCACCCAAACTTTCATTATTACAAAACCGAAATACACTAGCTGTGGTGGCGCATGCCTGTACGGTTAGCACTCGAGATTGAGCCAGGAGGGTGAGGCGTTCAGGACCAGCCTTGGCTAGACAGTAAGTTCAAGGCCAGTCTGGGCTATATGGGACCCTGTCTCCAGGAAACAAACAAAAACTACAAAATCAAAACAGAGGCTTTTGTTTATTTTACCTGTTCCAATCTAGTCAATCTCCCAGGAGTTTATTTTTTGATTTTTTTTTTAAAATTCATCATACATGTTTGAGAGTTTGCAGCATATTTGTGTGTGTACCGCCTAACTGTCTCCCACACTTGTTCTGAGCACTTGGGAACATTGTTCCTACCTATTTCCTCCTCCCCTTCTGTTAGTGGTTTTTGCCCAATCCATCCATCTCTCACCCAGGTGACAAACAGCCTCTTAACCCTTAGGCGTCTACCCGCCATTGCCTTTTCTCCAGACCTTCCACTCTCGAACTGGATGGATTTTGTATGCCACACTTGGCTCGAAACCTTGTATGCCTTCCCATTGCGTCTCTTATACGTCAAGTTCCTTAGGCCTTTGTTATTTTTCCAGTTTCTTCTTTTCAGTTCCCCGGCTCTGTCCCCTCATCCGTTACTCTGCAGACACCAACCTGTCGCTGGAGTGCTGGTTTATCTACCCTAGGCGCCTGGCTAGCACCCGGCTCTCCCAGGAAGATGGTCGTCCCTCCTCCATGTTGCCTTCACAACTGACCACCTCATCCTCCTGCAGATGCTTCCCCAGCTCGCTTAGACATCCCTCCCCCTGCTTTATTCCCTGACACCACGCCGGACATTAAACCATTTCCCAAACTGTTGTACTAGGTAGAGAGGGCCGCGTGATAGAGCACTTGCCTAGTGTGTACAAGGCTCTGGGTTTCCTTCCGCAGCACCAACTCACAGATATTTACACACACATTGTATGTGATCTCTTCGCCAGGTTTCCGACAGACAACCTAACTGTGGCTTTTGGGAGTATCTGTTCCATCAGAGGGGCCAGTGCCAAGTTTGGCTTTGTGTTCTGCACAGATTACATCTCTCTCGGCACCCATCGATTGTGTTTTTGTAATTTCTGTGCTATTTGGTAACAAATCTAACAGATTTTTTGAGTGAGCAAAGTACTCATCACAAAACAACAAATACAGTGATCTCAGGCTTAGTCCTTATATTACGTACTTATCTCGAGGACAGTACGTACAGTCACAGTTTGGGGGAGAGCGTTGGAAAGGAAGAGGAGGGTGGCAGGGAAGCACACAGCAGCAACAGGAGGAAAGTACCAAGCTCTGAGATGGGGGTCAGGGCCAAAGCATCTTCTCAGAGCAGTGACCTGAAAGATCAGTGAGACGTGTCAGTAGGAAGGAAGGTGGCTTGCTGGTGTAAACTAGACACTCAGCATGTGACTCAGGAAGGGTCCGCACAGTGCGAAGTAACGGGGTCACATCAAAGGTGCCACTGGAGTGATTTAAACTGGAAAGGGTCACACTCCAGTATGCAGTGAGAAGGAACTGCCCTGGGTATTAGGAGGTGTGGAGGAGAAACTAGGAGTGGGTATACTATGTTGGGGGCAGGGTTTCTAAATCTTAGCATTCTTAACATCTGGCATAAACTGATTCACATTCTCTGTCTCTCTTCCCCTCCCCCCCCCTCGCATGTGTGCGTGCACCTGTGTGTGTGTGTGTGTGTGTGTGTGTGTGTGTGTGTGTGTGTGTGAGAAAGGGATGTCCTGTGCACTTAGCAGCATCCATGGTCTATGGTCCATGTCCACCAGACACCAGTGGTACCTCCCTCTTCTTCAGGGAGTTTTACCAAAACTTTTGTCAAAATGTGCTGGCATTTCCAAGAGTCCTTTGAGTGGAAGAAAAAAATCTTCTGTGACTGGAAGCAGAGAGATCCGACATGTTACTGTTGTAGTAGTGGGGTTTGGGTTGGGCCTGGGGTAGTGAGAAGTGGCTACTACATGATTTTGTATAGGTAACCACTACCTCTTATATAGGTAACCACTACCTCTTATATAGGTAACCACTACCTCTTATACAGGTAACCAGAGCTTTGGGAGCACTGGCCATTAGGACCTTTTTTTTTTGTTTTGTTTTAGATAAAGATTTTTTTCTTCCCTCAAATGTGCTTTGATTTTTGTTTCCCTCTGCTAGAAATAGGGTCTGATTTAAGGTCTGCTTTTCCATGATGCTGTTTTGATCCGAGTCCCTTTGCTGATAACAGAATCTCTTGTAGTGGAAAGGAATTTGTTAAGGGCTGTCAGGAAACAAACAGAGAAAGGCCCAAGCCCTAGACTTAGGATCTTTATCTGGTCTACAGAGATGCACAGCCCACACAGGACAATTCTATCAAAAATCACTTCCTTCGAGGCCAGAAGGACAGCCCCTGTGACAGTGCTAGCCCAAGCTTCTCAAAGGTGTGTTGCTTTGCATATAAAAAAAAGAAAAAGAAGAAAGAAAGAAACTGTAGAGGATCCTGGGAAATAGAGTTCGTGTTTCTAGCCGAGGACCGTATGTGAAGGCAAGCGTGGAGGGCACTGATGCTCTACCTGCCGCCATGTTAGAGATGGCTGTGGGTTTTGACACTTTCTTCTGGCATGAGCGGTTCTTTCCCCTGCTGTGGTATTCATTTCCTCTTAAAGTTCCCCTCCTGCTCTAGAGAACCCGATCCTCTTTGTGTCTGGTCACTTTTGAAAATGTCAACTGTGTGGCCCATCAAAGACTCTTCCTCTGCAGGTCACCACGATACTGATTTCCCTTTGCCCTGGGGGCAGAGTCCAGATGACACACCAGACTTTGTAGCCTGGTTCCAACCAATCTGTATGGTGATTTCTGTACTTGCCACCTTACCCCCGCTCCATGTCCACCCAACCCTTCGCCAGTCCCTGATGAGGCCATGCTCTCTCAGGCCACGGGTCAGGCTCCACTTCTGGCTAGAATCCCGTATCCTGACTGCTGTTTTAAGAAGCCGCTGTCCCGAAGGTGTACCTCAAGCTGTCTTTCCTCATTGATTTCTCCAGGAAGGTTAGGAGCCCCTCTGCCTCTTGTAACTCTTATCACGTGACAGGGTCACTGTTTCTTACATGGCTGTGTCCTCCATACGTGCTCTTAGTGCGTTAGAGGCATGCTAACTGTGTGTTGAATGAGTTCGAATCATTGTTGACCTCCAAAAGCAAGAGGGAGAGCATATCTTAATGTGACCAACATATAACAGTGTAGCACGAACAGTAAAAGCCCAGAGACAGATATCAGGGTTCAAGCTGAAGATCAGAAAAGCAAAACAGCCAGCCATTGGCTCTTACCTCCACCTCAGACCGAAATGGGTGATCCTGCCTCCACGAATCCTCAGACTGAGACTGAGTTGAGACCTGTCACTTCCCGTTTTATATGTCTTGCTAGTGCTGGGATTAAAGGCATGCATCACCACCACCCGGCCCCTATACTAACTAGTGTGGCTGCTGGGATTGAAGGTGTGTGCTACCACTGCCTGGCTTGCATGGCTGACTAGTGTGGTTGCTTTGCACTGATATTCAGGAAAGTTTTATTTATTCAAACACAAAGACTGCACTACTATATAACAGTTCTCTGCGTGTGCCTCCGAACAGCGTAGAGTCTCCTGATGCATGTGGAGGCTGGAAAACTGGCCACTGACCTGCTATCCTGGTTGGATTGGTTGTAGTTTGTACCTGTTTTGTCATCTTGACAGTTATCTGGAGAGAGAAAACACAATTGAGAAAATGCCTCTACCAGACTGGTCTGTGGGGATTTTTTTTTTTTAATGATTGGTGAAGCAGGAGGTCCCAGCCCACAATGGGTGGTGTTACCCCTGGGTAGGTACCTAAGCTGTATGAGAAAGCAGACTGATCAAGCCATGGTGAACATGCCGGTAAACAACACTCCTCCATGGCCTCAAAAGAAATTTCAGTTCCTGCCTCCAGCCCTGACTTCCCTCAATGAGGAGGTGTGACCTGAGAGTTGTAAGATGAAGTAAACCCTTTCTTCCCAAAGTTGCGGTGTTTAGCATAGCAATAGAAACTAACTAAGACACCTGCTCATTTGAAAGGTAAGGGTTCTGGCTCCTGATCTGACAGTAGTTAATATTCGGGTAATACCGCTGTGGATTTCTACTGTTGTCCAAAATAACACTTTAAAAATAAAAATGCAGTGTGTTCTTAGTTACATGTATTTTATTAAACCATAAGTCATAAAAAAGTAAAACGAAAAGGAAGTCAGGGCGTATGGCCCGGCAAGAGAAGGTGGCTTTGAGTATTCCCATACCCCTTGCCTCACCTAATTCTCAAAGCAGTCCTGGACGGCAGGGAGATTACAGCTGTGACCCAGCCTGAGAAGTCCTGGGTCTGAGAGACAGAGTACCCTGTCTCGTCAGTCTTAGTAGCTCAGCGGTAGACAAGGCATTTGGACGCGGTTGGTGTGACTGCAAGCCCCGTGGTGTTCTTACATCGCTGAGCATCATCCAAGAATGTAGTGTTGGGAGAACTCCTCTTTAATTCACAGGAGGAAAAATGCTACGTGGTGGGAATCATATGTGGGAGCTGAGCAAGTTGGTCCCGTAGATGTGGGGAATTGAATGGTGGTTTCTAGAAGCTGGGCTAGTGAGAGGAGGATGAGAAAACATGCTTAGTGGGCGCTAAGTTAGACAGAAGCAGGGAGCTCCAGTGTGGTATTATATACAGGTGCAAAGAGGTACCGTGTAGGCACCATGGTTCTCAAATAGCTATAGAAAGTGTTCAGTTGCTTTACCATCAATTGATGTCTTTCCGATATATGTGTTTAACCTGGTGGCTATATCACAGGGTATCACACTAATATATACTTTTACCAATTAAAATAATTTATAATTACATAGCAATATTTGTCATTTGTCCTGTATAGAAAGTTGCAAACAGAACTCTGACCATAAAGTTAAAAGATAACGTTCCTCACTCAGGCGGTGGTGCAGGCCTGGGTTCCCACCTGCTCAGGAGGCTGAGGTGGGAAGACTGACGTTTAGAGTCTGCCCAGACTGAAGGGCGAGTCCAAAGGCAGCAGAGGCAATTTAACGAGACTCCAATTTTACAATGATAAAATATAAAAAAGGCGGGGCTATAACTTGGGTTGTTTACTGGGGTGTGCCTCACCCGCGGGGTCCTGGACTCAATCCTCAGCGGAGACAGCAGTGCTAGAAGAGAGGAGGCTTGATAGGCATTGCAGTTTTTAATCTCTCCCAAAGCCTGCTGCTCCGGCAGTCACGTGTGCTGGGTTATCCAAAGACGTGAAAGGACTTTCACGAAGGCATGCGACAGTCTGACGAGGCCTTGCTGGGTGACTGCAGACCACGCTGTCATTCCCCTTCTGGCTGGGGCTGAGTGTGGGGTAAATGTCCTGGAGGCTGGGAACAGAAGGAGGTCAGCCTGAGTGCCGCTACCAGGTGTCCTGGAGAACACACAGGCAGCTTGGAGGTCACAGGGGCACACCCCGGAGGGCAGGACGGAAGCTTAAGGGACTCGGCTGGGTAGAGTCGATTTTACTTTCAGTTTACGAAGATGAAAATTGAGGTCCTCAGAGGAAGCTCCTTGTCCAGGTCTGAGCAGCTGCTAATTATGCAGACGCGGCGTTCGGCTCTCCGCCACAAAGCCCAGGTGCTCCTCTGCCGTGGTTGCTTTAGAAAAAAAAGAGAAGGACCTTCAAGTTCTCTGTGCTGGCTAGTTTTACATCAACTTGCTCCAGGCTGGAGTTATCTGAAGGGAGGGAGCCTCAGTTGAGAAAATCCCTCCAGAAGATCCAGCTGTAGGCAAGCCTATAGGGCATTTTCTAATCAGTGATTGAAGGGGGAGGACCCAACTAATATGGTTGGTGCCATCCCCAGGCCGGTGGTTGTGGTTCTGTAAGAAGGCAGGTTGGACAAGCTACTAAGCAACACTCCTCCGTGGCCTCTGCATCAGCTCCTGCTTCCCGGTTCCTGTTCTGATTGAGTTCCTGTCCTGCCTTCCTTCAGTGATGGACTATGATGTGGAAGTGGAAGCCAAATAAGCCCTTTCCTTCTCAGTTTACTTCTTCATGGTGTTTCATCACGACAATAGAAAGTCTAATTAAGACATTTTCCGAGGAACCTCTGCAAGAAAGTGGTCACAGCCATTGTCTGTGATTCCCACATTCTGGGTTTGATGACTTTAATACTCCCTCAGCTGTCTCAGGATATGCAGGACTGACAGCCAGCTTCTCCGAAGACCCTGGCAGGCGCTCGTCTTATATGCATTTAGGATGCTCTCCCAGGCTGCTCTCTGATTCTTTGACTTAGTTATCACCCCCTTATTTATATTTTTGTGAGATCCTGAGTTCTGTTAGGGCACCTCCGCCACATGCAGAGTTTATTTCCTTTATTTAACTTTCAGTTTGATTTAAAAAAATATTATTTTTGTTCTTTTAATATTATTATTACTAAGTAATAATAAGCACTGTGGAGAGGGTGGCTGAACGAGGTTGGAAAGACCTTGTGGCCTGCCCTTTGGCCTTCCTTCTTCACTCCGGTTGTTAATCTTCCCCCTCCCTATTATCTCTCTTTGCACTTCAGTGCCCATAACTGTTCCCTTCTGTTGCAGGCGTGATGAAGCAGCCCTCCGGGCCTTTGGGAGCCCCTGCTCCTTCAGGGCTCTTGCCCCCAGGCCCTTTACCTCCTGGACCCCCACAGTTTGGCCCAAATGGAGCCCATGCCCCAGGCCATCCTCCTCAAAGGTGAGCCAAGTGCATTTCAACCCTCATTTGAATATGCCCTGTATTCTGGAAGTATCTTCTAAACTCCTGTGTTTCTTGGTCGAAAGTTTAATATCTTTGTATGTTCCATATTTAAGAATACATAAAAATTGCTTGTGTCAGTGCTACGTATTTTAGTTTGGGGGTTATATTCAGCTTATTTTTGGAGGTTTGTTTGTTTGTTTATTTAGTTATTTTGAGTCAGGGTTTCTCTGTGTAGCTCTGGCTGTCCTGGAACTCACCTTGTAGACCAGGCTGGCCTTGAACTCACAGAAATCTGCCTGCCTCCGCCTCCCTGAGTACTGAGATTAAAGACGTGCCACCACCACCTGGCAATTATTTTTAGAGTTTTGTGTTTATCTCCAGCTTATCTTCAGACATCTATAGTCTATATGTCTTTCAAAATATTAGATCGTGCTGGACATGGTGGCACACACCTTTAATCTCAGCCCTTGGGAAACAGAAGTAGGCAGATCTCTGTGAGCTTGAGGCCAGCCTGATCTGCAGAGCAAGTTCCAGACCAGCCAGGGCTACACAGTGAGATACTGACTCAACAGAACAGAACAAAGCATTAAAACTGAGAAATTCTCTTAGATCATTCTCTTCTCCCGAGATGCCCACATACCTGTGTTCATTACCTGTAAGCGCTTACCAAAATCTTAAGATGAAACTGGATTGAAGTAAGTGGTGTAGTCTGTGGGTTCTACATATTATATAGAAAGCATATTATGTCAATGAGGGACAGGCTTGCTGTGAAAGCAGCTCAAAAAAAAATACAGCTCGTGTTTATTTGTAATTCATTGAGAAAGAGGAAGTCAGGAACAGGCCTAGGGAAGCCAAAATCTTCCTGAGATATTTAGAGCCTCTTATCCATAACGGACTATCACTTGGGGTGGAGCCAGCAGCACACTTCAAGGCTTGGAAATCTCAATGTTATCTGTCCCACAAGCTGTTGCCACCAAAAGGAGTCCAGCTCCTCATGGCACTGACCTTGGAGCTTCTCCAGGGGTGGCCCAGACGTCCCATTTCCCAGTTTTTTCCCCAAGTTGTCAGGTTGGAGTGGGGGTGGGACCTTTGAGGTCTGTCTTTGAGGAAGGATGCCATTCCTGGTAATGGGAAAACGGAGATTCTGAAATCATCAGTCAATGCCCTTGCCTTTTGAGTCTGACACTCCTGGATTTTGTTTGTTGTGGTAACTATGGCTAAAGATGTAGCTATGGCATCACAGAGAAGCGTCACACAGGGGACAAAAAATAAAAAAGGAATTTAATTTGTGAGTACACCTGTGGCTTGAGCACAAAGCAGGGGTTCATCAAAGGCCTTGTTGTGAATGGGCCATTAGTCTCCAAAGCACGATGGATGGGCAATGAAGGTGCCCAGTGCTGAGAACCATTGCATGTAGTGGCATATACCTGTATCTAGCAGGAAGACGGAGGCAGAAGGACTGTTGTGAGTTCAAGGCTAGCCTGGGTTATATAGCTCTAGGCCAGCCTAGACTACAAAGTCAAACTCGGCTTCAGAAATCCGAGGAGTCTTCTATAGCTGTGGATCCTGTACAGTGTACGGACAATCTGCCAGGTAAGGCAGACTCACCGGTACAAAGCAACGCGCCTGTTGTGGGGGAAACCGAAAGCTTTCTGATTGGATGTGAAATCCAGTCTACTGAAGGACTTCCCGCCTGATACTGTGAACCTGGTTAAAGCATGATGCTGGCAAGGTGACTCTAGGGCAGAGTCTACTGTTGTCATTTTGCTAAATGAATATAGCTAAAGTGCTTTCTAGAGTTTTAATATAAATATAGCATACATATATTTTTGTTTATATTCCTATACAATATTACTATACATTTATGTTTGTAGCCATATGCTGGTGCTGCTGTAAATTGGCAGGCCTGCTGTAAAAGCAGCTCAAGAAATATACAGCTTGTGCTTGTGTTTGTAGTAAGCTGGAAAAGAGGGAGTCAGAGGCAGGCCCAGGAAAGCCGTAGTCAGAAAAGTCGCCTTTGTGACAGGAATCGATAGTGCAGAGACCCATAACTGAGTAGAGCACTGAGAATAAGTGACAGTCGAGTGCTCAGCCCGAAATGGGACATCACCCCTTCCCAAGTTCAGCCGTCATGGCGGAGAGGGGATAAACCATGTAAGAGCCACAGCTGTCTTCTGTATGTGACGTCATCAGTGTGACCGTGAACGTACAGACATGAGCTGTGGAAACCTACACACGTGTTTAATGCAAAATTAGGTCCTAAACATCCCATTGTGGATCTGGGGGGACCTCATGAAGTCGTACCCTTCCCTGAGGAGCAGCTGGTCGTCAGTGGTTACCAGGCGATGCAGGGGATGCCATCTTTCTCAGTGGGATGGCGCTTGGTGAATTGCCCATGCTCTGCAAATAGCCTCTCAGCCTTATTCATCCAGTTGACTGTAATTAAACTTAGTGATTCAAAAACAGCAATATCCAACTCCAACAAGTCATAAAAGCTAGTTGAAAATAGGAATTGCATGAGCAGGAATTGGGGAGGGATAAAAGAACATATGGGGAATTCATATTACCACAATACGTTGTAAAAATATATGGAATTGTTTGTTAGCCAGGCGGTGGTGGCGCATGCCTTTAATCCTAGCACTTGTGAGACAGAGGCAGGTGGATTGCTGTGAGTTAAGGCCAGCCTGGTCTTCAAGAGCTAGTTCCAGGAAAGGCTCCAAAACTACAGAGAAATTCTGTCTCAAAAAACCAAAAACAGACAAACAAACAAACAAAAATATATGGAATTGTCAAACTGGTGTTAAGTTTTAAAATGTCTAAGAATAAATAAGTAAATATAAAAAAGAAATGCTCAGAACCTCAAGGTAGCTTTGGCCCCAACAGCAGAGTAGCCTGGGCTGTTGATATTGTTCCTTAATTCCTCACTGGAAACAGGAGGAAGTGATCTTCTTAGTTCAGAGGGAAAAGGAAGACGATCCAGGACAGTTCATTACTGTGAACCCCCTCTATGGTATCTCAGGATTCAGAAAAGAAAGCCAAGTTAGAACCAGTGGTTTTGAGGACAAGTTTTGGTCACTGGTATTGGCCTAGCTGGTGGATCTCTTTGATGTGTTGTCACGTGTGAGAATGACATCATGAGACAGTACAGGGCTGGCACCCTGAGGAGTGGAGACATGTTTGCCAGGCATGCCTTCTGAAGTTGTTGGCTGAACAGATTTTTGTCACATGCTCTATACATGTTCTCCGCATGTACAGTGTGAGCCTCGGGTTCTAAGGAAGCTGGAGAATTCCTGGGGCTTAGTGCTGCCACAGCATCTGAATGTCGTTACCTTGAAACATTGCTCGTGTGTCTGGATGCCACTGGTGTTCACAGGTCTGCTCACCGCCAGCACAGAACCCTGGGTAGGGATGCGGTGACTGCACTGGTCAGGTGTTTCCCATAGTACTGATCGCGATTTTAGAGTGTTCTCCTACTCAGAGAAGTCTGTTGTGACTCACTGTACTGATTGCCAGCAGCTGCTCGATGATCTACCTTACTGCATCTCTTAGTTGCATTTTTCTCTTGATCTCTTTGAGCGTTCTTTTGCTCATTGTTGTTCTAGGAATATACAGTCTATGTATGTAGTAGGCACTTCCATCCAGGTTTGTATAACCTGTGATGTTGACACAGGGGCAAAAACCACCTAGGGATGCATTTCTCAGAGTATCCTGTTGTTAAGTGGTGTGTAAGCCACTTAACCTCTGTGTGGTTTTGCTTTCTCAGCCTTTACAGTTACACCTCTAATGCATGGTTGTGAGGGTTCTGCATGCCGATGACTTCATGCAACACACAATGCTGATCACAGTCCATAGGCTCAGTACATGTCAGCAGCTCTCAGCCTCATTTCATTGGCTCGAGTGTGCCATGTCACTGGATAGAAAGTCCACTTGCTACCTCTGGATTGCTCTCCCTCAGGCTGGTGACTCCAGGAAGTCAGACTCAGAATCTGCTTGGACTCTGATGGCAAGGAAGCACAATTAGGTCCTGTTCTTTCCCCAGCACTTTTTATGTGGTACAACTTGAATATTGGCCTAAAAGTTAGAGGTAGGTTTGGAAGATGAAAAAGTTAGGGGGAAGTCCGATATGCAGGCTGTTTCCAGGTTGCCTCTTATCTGCTCCGTGGGACACGTTTCTGTACACACAGGGCAGTGCAAAGGCAAAGGACAGAGTGAGCTGTGATGAGTCACACTCTTCTGATGACGGAGGCTCAGAGGAGAATAGATGTGTGTGACCTTCCTTGCTCACTCTCTCTCTCTCTCCTCTCTCTCTCTCTCTCTCTTCCTCCATTCCTCCTTCTCTTTGCATCTTTCCTTTATGTTTTAAAAGCCTTTTTAAAAATGGCGTTTTAATTTACGCTTTGAGACTGTCATGCATGTGTTTCAGTGTGTTTTGATCATACTCACCCCATCTTCCTCCTGGACTCCTCCCAGAACCCCACGGACCCTCCCTACTTTATTTGCTCTTCTGTTGTTTTTGACTCACTGAGTCTAGTGAGTGCTGTCACCATGTAAATGTGTGTAGGGCCATCTGCTGGAGCATGGGCAGCTCCCCAGGGCCCACTTCCCTGAGGAAAACAGCTCCTCAGCTAGGGACAGGACCTTGTGATTCTGATTCCACCCCTTTTTGGTGATGGAATGGCTACTGACTTGATCTTGTACAGGTATTCACAGCCATTGTGAGTGCGTGCGTGCAATAGTCATGTCTAGAAAATGCTGTTTCCCAGCTGTTCTCCACAATATTAGGCTCTTACAGGCTCCCGACCTCCTCTCTCACAGTGGTCTCTGAGTGAGTGGGTGTGAGATAAATGTTCTGTTGCAGGCTGAGTACACCATAGTCATTTATTTCCTCACTTTGACGTATTGTGAGTAGTTGCACTTAATTTCTATCCATTGTAAAAGGAAGCCTCTCTGATGAGGTCTCAGAGCTGTACTGGCCTGTGGACATAATGATGCATATTAGAGAGCAGTTTGACACTATCTCCATTTAGCAACACAGTAATTGTAGGCTCCGTCCTCAGGCATGTGAGTTCCCTGATCATGGTTTCTTGGTCATATTTACAATACTGGGCATGTGTATGTATGTCCTCCTGTAGAGTGAGCCTTAAATCCCATAGTGCTTGGTTTCCCCCATAACATTCATGCCACTGGTGCATCCACGCATATATCTTGCCATGCTGGCCATTACTATAGTTTACTGGATTGGTCAATAAGACTGAATAAGACTGTTGATGACTCCCCTGCTCCTAGCGGTCTGTATAGCAGCTTCTAGCACCGTGAAAGCTAGCCAGAAGAGGGGAAACTTCCAGTTCAGTAGCAACTGGATCTTTCCATGTCCCATGTCTCAAGTATGTTGTATCTTCAGCAAAAGGATCTTACTATGAAGTTCTGGAGTAATAGCACTGCCAGCAATAGCAATAGCCTGTATTGTTTTGAAGGGGTTATGAAACCACACTGACCATCAGGTAAAATGCAAATTAAACTGCCTTGAGACTTCATTTTATCCCAGCCAGACTGCCTAAGATTAAGAAAACAAATTACAAATCCTGGAGTGGCTGTGGCGAAAGGAGACCCATTATTCAGTGTTGGTGGGAGTGAAAACGGGTATAGCCACTGTGGAAAGCAGTGTGAAGGTTTCTCAAAAGGCTAGAAATAAATAACTCTACCACATGATCCAGCTATATCACTCTCGGGCATATACTCAAAGGACTCCATATCTACTCCAGAGATATTTGCTGATCCATGTTCGTTGATGCTCTAGTCCTAATAGTCAGGAAATGGAAATAGCCTAGATCTGTACAAATTGATGAATGGGTAATGGAAATTCAGAACAGATATAGGGTGGAATTTATTTAGTTGTAAAGAAAAAGTGAAATTTTCAGGCCAGTGGATGGAACTGGATATAGTTCTTCTGAGTCTGCTCACCCAGATCGAGAGAGACAAATGCTGTGTGTTCTCTCTCATATTTGTAGGCCAGCCTTGGGTCCGTGGATATTTGTATTTAAATTGGAGCACTTGTAGAAGCCAGGAAATTAGAAAGGGTCATTGTGTTTGCGTTGAGGGGAGAATAATGGAGGAGGGACAGTCAAACACAGGCAGTATGGGGTGGATAGGAGAATAATGGGACGAGAAAGATATAAGTGGGGAAGTGGATGGGAGGCCAGGGCAGAAGAAAGGGTTTGAGGAGAAATAGATAACACCAATGATCTGTGAAGAAGTCAAATAGAAACCTACTGTCTTAGTCACTGTTCTATGTAAAAGACACCATGACCAAGGCAACTCATACAAAGGTGTTTACTTGGGGGCTTGCTTGCAATTTTAATGCATTCTCATCATGGCCAGGAGCATGGTGGCATGTGGGCAACAATTGGAGCCATAGCTGAGAGTGCTACATTCACAGGGAGAGAGAGAAGAGGGAGAGAGAGACTTGTCTTGGCATTGTCTTTTGCAACCTCAAAGCCCACCCCCAATGTCACACTTCCTCCAACAAGGACACACCTCCTAATCCTCCTAATCCTATTAAAGAGGTCTACTCCCTGGTGACTAAACACCAAATATATGAACCTGTGGGGCCCATTCTTATTCAACCACCACACTTGTTATTTTAGAAACTTCATATATGTGTGTGTGTGTGTGTAAATATATAAATATTTATATATTAATTATATAATAATTAATTATATAATAATTATATATAATATATAATATTATAAATTAATATTATATAAATATAATATTTAAATATATATATATTTACACACACACATAAATAAAAATTCAGTTGTTAGGTGTGGTTAACTTTCTTTTTCCTTTAAAGTCACTGTGTAGCAGCTGACCTATAGGTGATGATCCTCCTTCTACATAGAGGTTCAGCCACAGAGATAAGACTTTAATCAATTCAAACTCAGAGTCACTGTGTTGATTTATATAGTAAATATGTATATGATTTTTAAAATAGTGATATTTTTGGACTGGAGAGATGTCTCGGTTGTTAAAAGTACTTGTTGCTCTTGCAGGGGGCCTAGGATTGGTTCCCGACACATACATGGTGGCTCACAACTGTCTGTAACTCCTGGTTCAGATCATCCAACACTTTCTTCTCATCGTCACAGGTGCCAGGCACGCACATGGTGCAGGAAAAACATTTATACACATAAAAATAAGTTTAAATAAATACATATTAAAGATCTTTTATTTCAAAAGGAATATCTGAAAAAAATTAAAAACCATACTGTCTTAGAGTTTCTATTGCTCTAGAAGACACCATGACCATGGCATCTCTTATAAAGGAAAGCATTTATTTGGGGTGGCTTACAATTCAGACATTAAATCCCTTATCATCATGGCAGGAATGGTGGCCTGCAGGCAGACATGCAGACATGGTGCCGGAGAAGGAGCTGAGAGTTCTACATCTTGATCTTTAGGCATTAGGAGTGAACTGATCTAGATGTAGTTTGAGTAGAGGAGACCTCAAAGCCTGCCCCCACAATGCCACACTTCTTCTAACAAGGCCACACCTACTTCAACAAGGCCACACCTTATAGTGCCACTCTCTATGAGCTTATAAGACCAATTACATTCAAACTACCACACATACCTAGTTGTTTGTTCTTTTGATCATGGCTGAAGTAGGATAACTCTTTTTTTCTTTTTTAAAGATTTATTTTTTATTATTTATTACCATAAGAGGGCACCAGATCTCATTATAGATGGTTATGAGTCACCATGTGATTGCTGGGAATTGAACTCAGGACCTCTGGAAGAACAGCCAGTGCTCTTAACCTCTGAACCATTTCTCTAGCCCCAGGACAACTGTCTTATACTTACAAGTACTTCTAAAGTTTTCTGCAAAAGGTACTACTAGGAAGAATTAATCTGTTAAAATATATACTCTAAAATGTCAGTCTTTCCATCATAAGGGAAAATGACAGTCAATTCATTGTAATTCATCTGTTTTAATCACGAAATAGTGAGATAGAGAATGAAAAGACCCAGCTTTCCAACTGAATTTATGAGAATCTACTAAGAAATGTTGCGACGTAAACGGAGGTTGTGGTGAAAAGAAGCCATAGGCTTTGTTTGCTTGTTTGTAGTGCTGACGCCTAAATCCCTGGCCTTGAACATGCTAGGAAAGTGTTCTTCCACTGAGCTATATCCCCATCTTTTCTTTAGTGTTCTTTCTTCTTTCTTTTATGTATATGGGTGGTTGTTTTAGCCATGTGGGTGCTGAGACTCAAACTTAGGTCCTCTGCAAAAGCCACAGATATGTTTAGCCACCGAGCCATCTCTCCAGCCCCTCAGGCCATGTAATCTAGGGAGCCTTCATTTTTGTCACAACTGAAAGTTAGTAGGAAAAGATTCATAATGAATCCCTGGTACTTATTAGCTTTCTGTGTTGTATCACTGCTCGGGTGGGGCCACTACTCGGGCGATAGCCATTGCTTAGACCAAAGAGTAACAATAACACACAACGGACAAACACAGTTTCAAACTACATCATGGGTAAAGTATGACGGGATTTTTAAATGAGGAAAACAGAAAAACACCTACTCCAAACTTACTGCAATGTTAACTGCCAAACACCCTTTCGTAGGGTGTGCCTCACCGACTTCAGAATGTAAGACAGGCCAGATTCTGTTTAAAAACTGGGTCAGAATGATAAGCAGGATGATCACCAATACACAACCACAAAGCATGCGGTCTTGTTTTTGTTTTGTTTCATTCTATCGGTCAAGTTCAGTGAGTGTGAAGTGGCTGCCTTGGGCTCATTGTTTTATTGGTTTCCAAAGCTGGCCTTGTTGTTCGTGTTAGACTTTTCTCTCCCTCGACATAGGAAACAGGTGAGTGGAGAGAGACGTGGGGCTGTGCTGTGGGTTGCTCTGAGCACAGATCAAGAGTAAATATTTAATCCACAATATCAGTCATTTTTCCTACCCGCTAGAGAAGGTACTTTTGTTCTTGTTTTGGAATATATTAGCTATTTTGTTTGTCATTTGCTTCTGAAACCCTGGGACACTAACCATCCCTTTTGTCTCTTAGATTTCCGGGACCCCCACCTGTCAATAATGCGGCCCCCTCTTACGCATCAGGCCAGCCCCC